TTATTTTACTCTCTCTATAAGCTTTCAAGGAATTCTTTTTTTCTTGGCAGATTATCCCAGCAGCGAGCGCATCCCAGCTAACCCTTGTTGACTTGGTTTGTGCACTCAGCACCCTGCAGACCGACACCTTGCTGCACCTGGTGAAGGAGGTGGTGAAGAGGCCACCCCAAGTCAAAGCGGGTGACGAGGTGAGGGGCCTGGGGAAGCCTCTGGGCTTCTGCGGATGAGTGGGTAGCAGTCGTCATAACTACTTCCTTATAAATCATGTTTGGGAGGGAAAGGTAGGTAACGAGAATGAGGAGGAATGCTTGAGGGAGTGAAGTGGAGGTGCTGTTTGCTGTGCTTTGTGGGAGACCGATGAAGCTTTGGTGCTCCTTTCTTAAGGTGGGAACCTCCTGGGGTCAGGGGCTCTCATGCTTGTACCCCGCTGCTGAGGACACTGCCTGGTATGAGGGTTAGCGCCTTCTGGGCATTAAGTAGAATAAAATCTGTAGAAAGAGGAAATGGCACCTGCCTCAAGGAACTTGCAGCCCTAAAGATGTCAGAGATAAAGAAAACCAGACTCTAGTGAAAGGTGGTAAAGACGGATGTGACTGGGTAATCACTGCAGCCAGGGAAGGTGCTGGGTTCCATTTAGATCTGTGTGGAGGTGACTGGGAAGGGAGGAGAGAGCAGGAAGGACCAGGGCTGTAAAGAGAGTTGGAGAAGGAGGAAATTACGAAAGAGCAGGTAGGGAGGCCGGTCAGTCCATAGGTGTGATCAGGCCACGTGCGTTTGCTAACTGGGGCTTATCCAAACGAGACCCCTACCCTCCTGCAGATACACATACAGCCTCGAGATACAGGCTCTGTCCTCCTTGATGATTCTGTTTCAAAGGGATGGCTCCCAGGTCCTTGAGAAACACATTCCTAGGTTGGAGGAGACACATAGACATCTCACAGGGACAGAGGAAGTATTTATCATTGTAAACTAAAAAAAAAATGCTCTAAAAAATGGAGTCAGGGGCCTCTCTACAGATGTTGGCAGGAACACACTGTAAATTCTTTGGCAACTTTGGGCTTTCTCGGGCAGGTACTTGAAGAAGACCAGTGTCCCCATCTAGGGATCCATGCTAAGTTGTATGCTCAAGTCCTTTGTTGTTGGGGTGGACAGAACCATTTGTCAAGCAGAGGACTCAGAGGACCCTAGCTAGAGTCAGCTCAAGGAGAGAGGCTTTGTCAAGGACAAATTAAAATTTGCATAATTTTTCTTTCCTTCTTTTTTTTGAGACAGAGCCTCACTCTGTCACCCAGTCTGGAGTGCAGTGGCGCAGTCTAAGCTCGCTGCAAGCTCCACCTTCTGGGCTCAAGTGATTCTTGTGCCTCAGCCTCCCAAGTAGCTGGGACTACAGGTACATGCCCCCATACCTGGCTAATTTTTGTTTTGTTTTGTTTTTCGAGACAGAGTCTCACTTTGTCACCCAGGCTGGCGTGCAGTGACACAATCTCAGCCTACTGCAACCTCCACCCCTCAAGTTCAAGTGATTCTCGCATCTCAGCTTCCTGAGTAGCAGGGATTACAGGCATGCACCACCAGGGCTGGCTAATTTTTGTATTTTTTTTAGTAGAGACAGGGTTTTGCTATGTTGGCCAGACTGGTCTTGAACTCCACCCACCTTGGCCTCCCAAAGTGCTGGGATTACAGGCGTGAGCCACCATGCCTGGCCAAAGTTTGCATAATTTTTTTTAAACTTTTTTTTTTTTTTTAGACAGGATCTCACTGTCACCCAGGCTGTAATGCAGTGGCACAATCACAGCTCACTGCAGCCTTGACCTCTCCTGGCTCAAATGATCTTCACAAGTAGCTGAGACCACAGGTGCACACCACTACACCTGGCTAATTTTTATCATTTTTGTAGTGCCGGGGTTTGCCATGTTGCCCAGGCTGGTATGGAACTTCTAGGCTCAAGCAACCCTCCCCCTGGGCCTCCCAAAGTGCTGGGATTACAGGCAAGAGCCACCATGCCTGGCTGCATAATTTTTCATAAAAATAGAAAATAAGTGTCAGAGAACGTAACTCATTATAGACATTCTGAGAAAGAGGAGATTTCATCTGGCTGCTGTGAAACCAAAGCCCCCGGGGTGATGTCATTGAACCGAGAAGCTCCTTGTAGTTTTTCTGCTCAATTTCTTCACAACAGCCTGGAGGACCCATGTCATCTAGAGAGCTTCTTCAATTATACACAGTGGATTTAAAACAGGGCAGATGGCCAGGCTCGGTGGCTCATGTCTGTAATCCCAGCACTTTGGGAGGCTGAGGCCAGCAAATCACGAGGTCAGGAGTTCGAGACCAGCCTGGCCAACATGGTGAAAACCCTGTCTCTACTAAAATATAAAAAAATTAGCCAAGCGTGGTGGCTCACGCATATAGTCCCAGCTACTCAGGAGGCTGCAACAGGAGAATTGCTTGAACCTGGCAGGCGGAGGTTGCAGTGAGCTGAGATCAGGCCATTGCACTCCAGCCTTGGTGACAGAGCGAGACTCCATCTCAAACGAACAAACAAACAGACAAACATAAAACAGGGCAGGCTGTGTGGTGTAATATTTGCATTCCCTTGGGCTTCTGTTTTTGTTTTTACCAAAGCAGACTTCATCATTGAAAGCAGTGGAACTGTTTGCCTCTTAGTTCATTAATTTAATAAAAAATAGGGATTTATTTCAATTTTGAAATAATTGCTTTCTGTCAGACAATTTAAAATCATACAGTTAGCAAAGATTTAAGAATAATCTAAATGAAAATTGGGGCCGGGCATGGTGGCTCATGCCTGTAATCCTAGAGCTTTAGGAATTTGAGACCAGCCTGGGCAACATAGGGAGACACCATCCCTACAAAAAATTTAAAAATCAGCTAGTATAGTAGTGTACACCTGTGGTCCCAGCTATTTGGGAGGCTGAGGCAGGAGGATCAGTTGAGCCCAGGAGTTCAAGGTTGTAGTGAGCTATGATCGAGCCACTGCATTCCAGCCTGGGTGACAGAGTGAGACCCTGTCCAAAAAAAAAAAAAAAAAGAAAATTAGTGCAATGGAAAAAATGATTATTAAAAAATATAGCTTTGCTTGCACAGATATTTGTGCATCAATGTTCATAGCAGCGTCACTCACAACAGCCAAAAGGTAGAAGCAGTCCTTGTGTGTATCTGTTCGTGCAGTGCATTGGTACTCGGCTTTAAAAGGAAGGAAATTCCAACACATGCTACAGTGTGGATATCAGATCCTCAACATGGATGAATCTGGAAACATTAAGTTAAATTAAATAAGCTAGTCAATGGCCAGGCACGGTGGTTCACTTCTGTAATTCCAGCACTTTGGGAGGCCAAGGCAGGCGAATCCTGAGGTCAAAAGATCAAGACCATCCTGGCCAACATGGTGAAACCCAGTCACTACTAAAAATACAAAAATTAGCCAGGGGTTGTGGCAGGCTCCTGTAGTCCCAGCTACTCGGGAGTCTGAGGCAGGAGAATCGCTTGAACCTGGGAGGCAGAGATTGCAGTGAGCCGAGACCACGCCACTGCACTCCAGCCTGATGACAGAGCAAGATTCCATCTCATAAAAGAAAAAAGAAATAAAACAAGCCAGTCACAAGAGGACTAACACAGTTCTATATCTGGAAGAAAAAAAAAATTCAACTGTGTCCTCACTCAGCAACATAACAGTCCACACAGAAGACTTCTCTTGCCCCTGATATGTGGGATTTCTCCCCACCAATAAGCAAGCAATTGATTCTACAGTGGACACCAGTGTGGTGTCCTCCAATTCAATTCCTACCCTATCTGCCTGGAGATAGTGTCAGATGCCACAGGGTGAGGGCTCAGTCCCCAAGACCACCCTTTACTTCAGACACCAGTCAGTCACACGTCTGGGCCTGTGGAACTTTGAACTAACTAGCTTCAAATTGGAATTCCCACAAACCCCCACTTTGGGGTCAATGAATTTGTTAGAGCAACTCAAAGAACTCCAGAAACATGTTTACTGGCTTATTATAAAGGCTATTACAAAGGATACAGATGAAGGGGTGCATAAGGCAAGGTATGGGGGGGAAAGTGTGGAGTTTCCATGCCTTCCGTGGGCACAGTTCCTTCATGTGCTCTGCTCTCTGGAAGCTGACCAAACCCAGTCCTCTTGGGCCTTTTATGGAAACTTCATTGGATGGGCATGACTGAAGCATGGACAACCGTGTGGAAATGTGATTTAACAAAAAGAGTGTGATCTGATACTTAGTACAGTGACGGGAAACCCAGCAGGGCCGGCCTGTTCAGATTCTTATTGGCCTGTCTGTGCAGCATTCCTTCCTCCAGGGAGCGGGACAGGACCCTCTCCAGAATGAGGGTCTAATGAACCATAGTCAGATTAGAGTCCTGCCTCGGGGCAGGAAAAAGGAGGGCAGGAGTTTCGAACCAAGAACTGCAGACAAAAACACACAGAAAAATAGGTAGGTAGGTAGGATGGATGGATGGATAGATAGAGAGGTAGGTAGGTAGCTAGATAGATGGGTACATTGATATTAGGTAGGTAGATAGATATTGGGTAAGTAGGTAGGTAGATAGACAGATAGATGATAGATAGATAGATAGATAGATAGATAGATAGATAGATAGATAGATGATAGATAGATACTATGATTTTAGAGTGTTGAGGTGGCTCACTCCTGTAATCCCAACACTTTGGGAAGCTGAAGCAGAGGGAATGCTTGAGCCCAGAAGTTCAAGACCAGCCTGGGCAAGAAAGTGAAACCCTGACTCTATTAAAAAAGAAAGAGGGAGACAAAGAGAAAAAGAAAGAGACAGAAAGAAAGAAAAAAAAATTAGCCAGGCACAGTGGTACGCACTTGTAGTCTCAGCTACTTGGGAGGCTGAGGGGGAGAATTGCTTGAGCCAGGGAAGTTGAGGCTGCATTGAGCCAAGATCACGCCACTGCACTGCAGTACAGAGCGAGACCCCGTCTCTAAACGAAAGAAAGACTTTTTTTCCAGATGGGTAATGTGCCGACCATTATAACAAGGTTTGAGGGTGGCACATCTCACACATGCGTGTGAATACCTCATCATTGCACTCATGAACTACAGAAGGATTGGGAGACTTTTTTTCAGCCATTTTCTTCAGCCTCGCACATGACACAGGGCAGCCCCATACAGGAATGTCCAGGCCCTGAGGACCTGGCCATTGGGCGTCACCCAGTTATCCTGCAGTTATCCCAGATAACCACTGCAGTTATCCTGCAGTCCCTGGTCTCTTCCTTCCTTCCAGTGTTTATCAACAATGCGCTCTGTGCACTGAGTGGTGTCACGAAAAAAAAAAAACAGTTCCTGCCCTCAGTCCTCCTATGTTCTAGGTTGGCAAGGAAGAGGGAAGAGAAAAGAAGCCATCCTAAAAAATAACAACACTGCAGGCCAGGTTATGGGGCCAGCTCAGTGCTTAAGGTATCGAATGTAAAAGGACCCTGGTGACTTCCACAGTGTTTCTTGGGAATCTGGCCCAGGTCTCCCAATCTCCCAAGAACGTATGGTTGTCTGTTGCCTTTCACTCTTTTTTTTTGTTTGTTTGTTTGTTTTTTTGAGATGGAGTCTCGCTCTGTTGCCCAGGCTGGAGTGCGGTGGCATGACCTCGGTTCACTACAACCTCTGCCTGCCGGGTTCAAGCGATTCTCCTGCCTCAGCCTCTTGGGTAGCTGGGATTACAAGCTGCCCGCCACGATGCCTGGCTAACTTTTTGTATTTTTAGTAGAAACGGAGTTTGTCCATGTTGGCCAGGCTGGTCTTGAACTCCTGACCTCAGGTTGTCCACTCGCCTTAGCTTCCCAAAGTGCTGGGATTATATGCGTGAGCCATCGTGCCCGGCGCCTTTCACTCTTGTCCATAAATGTGAGGAGCGGGAATGGCGCTCCACAGGGCGGTCTGTGTGCTGCAGACTTGGTTGCCGTAGAGCCACAGGGTTCTTCAAGGGGCTGTCCTTCCAAAGACAGCTCTGCAGAGGCCATGACAGCCAGAGCGAGTGTCTTTAGGTTTTGCTTCCTTCACATTACTTGAATTTCTACAAATACCTGCAATTTCTAGTCCTTCCTGGGCCAAAAAGGAAGCGGATGTTATCTGGCTGACTGATTTTTGGTGGTTCAAATAACAAAACTACATTTTGTGGTTAGTTTCGTTCATTGATAGCTACAAATAGCTTCTTACAAGCACGGAGGGAGGAAAATGTGTGTTTTGGAACTTGTTTCCAAGTAGTTCCGGCCACAGGGTTTTTGGGGAAGCTGTCTGGGCTGGGTTTGAAGTAATCTCCTAAACTAAGAATGATAATTTTTTGACCGTGTGCTGTGGCTCTACTTGGGAGGCTGAGGCAGGAGAATCGCTTGAACCCGGGAGGCAGAGGTTGCAGTGAGCTGAGATTGTGCCACTGCCATCCAGCCTGGGCAACAGAGCAAGATTCTGTCTCAAAGAAAGAAGAAGAAAGAAAGAAAAAAAAAAAAAAAGCCAACTGCGGTCGTTCATGCCTATAATCCCAGCACTTTGGGAGGTTGAGGCGGGCGGATCACCTGAGGTCAGGAGTTCAAGACCAGCCTGACCAGCATGGTGAAACCCTGTCTTTAAACAATAAAAAGCAAAAGAAGAATTAGAATGTTTTCTTGTCTCTTGGTAATCATATGCATTCATTGGAGTCAACATTGGCCCCAGCTTTCTGTGTCAGGGGAAGTTCAGTGACAACGCCCATTTTCCTGAATGCTTGTTGTTGCCTGGAATATAAAGTGGGTAAACAGGGTGGGAGATCACTGTAGAAGTCTAAGGGGGCACAAATGATTTGGGGGTTCATAAGACACACGTTTTAATAGTACATGATGGACATTACAGTGTCTGTTGTTACATCTGTAAGGTTCTTTAGACAAAAGCCTTTGCTTTGTTAGTTTATAGATCTGTTTCATTTTGTATTTGAATTCCCTTTGGCCTTATTTCCCACGAACTTGGAGTAATTGGTTTCACTTTCATTTTCAGAAATCGCCCCTAGTGGACATTCCTGTGTTGCAATTTTGCTATGCTTTTCTCCAAAGGTAATCCAGTCCCCCGTCCTCAAAAAACTTCCTTAATACAGATGCTATTGCAGTGACCATGCATAATATCTCCGGTTTTATTTCTAGAGTAGTAGAGAGCCATAGTTCAGAAAATATTTTAAAGTTGTCATAATTTCTTCCCAATTGGTTGATCTATACTTTTCCTTCTCCAGAGATTTAACATCTTAAAATCTGTGCACTCTATCTCAAACACTTTACGTGAACAAAGCTTTATGTGAGGCCTTTTAAACTTTAAAATACTTGGATTTGCATTAATACAGAAAAAAAAAAAAAAAAAAAAAAAAAAAACACAGACAGGGAAGTGTTAAAAACCTCTTTTAGAAAAAGGAGAAAGGGGCCAGGCGCCGTAGCTCATACCTGCAATCCCAGCACTTTGGGAAGCTGAGGCAGGCAGGTCACTTGAGGCCAGGAGTCAGAGACGAGCCTGGCCAACATGCTGAAATCCCGTCTCTACTAAAAATACAAAAAATTAGCTGGGCGTGGGGGCCCGTGCTTATAGTCGCAGCTCAGGAGGCTGAGGAACAAGAATCACTTGAACCCGGGGGGCAGAGGATCCAGTGAGCCAAGATTCCACTACTGCACTGCACTCTATTCTGGGCAACAGAGCAAGACTCTGTCTTTAGAAAAAAAAGAAAAAAAAAAAAAAGATCCAAGAGATCAAGGTTGATCATCTAGTTTAAGTCTTTTATTTTATGGACAAGGAATCCAGGAGTATCTCACCTGCCAGCAGCAGGATTTCAGGCTCCCAAACTTCAAGTGCTTGCCAGAATACCAAAGTTTAGCTTGTGGTACATTGTAATTTTTTTTTTTTTTTAGATGGAGTTTTGCATTGTCACCCAGGCTAGAGTGCAGTGGCGCGATCTTGGCTCACTGCAACCTCCATCTCCCAGGTTCAAGCAATTTTCCTGCCTCAGCCTCCCAAGTAGCTGGGATTACAGGCACCCACCACCACACCCAGCTAATTTTTTGTATTTTTAGTAGAGACGAGGTTTTGCTATGTTGGCCAGGCTGGTCTCGAACTCCTGACCTCATGATTTGCCCACCTCGGCCTCCCAAAGTGCTGGGGATTACAGGCATGAGCCACCATGCCTGGCCCATTGTAATTTTTAAAAAAGAAAAATGTCAGTGAGGTATGCTGTTTACCCTTTGCTTTCCAACTGCCAGGATCTCAAATGTGCTTATGAATAAATGTATTTTGACTTGCTCATGGTTATTTTTCCTATTTTTAAAATAAACAGGCTCCCAGTACCAGCCTTGCAAGAGAACTTCTCCTCACTGTTGGGAGTCTTGAAGGAGTCTGTGCAGTTGAATCTAGCGCCTCCTGGGTATTTCCTGCTTCTCAGGTATCGTGTCACCGCATTGGCATTGTGTAATATTTTCTTCTGGCACATATTTTGTTTCTGCAGCATTTTTAATCTGAAGCTGATTGTCTCTCAACAGCATGCTGAATGACTTTGTAACAAGAACTCCCAACCTGGAAAGCAAGAAGGATCAAAAAGACCTGCAGGTTCGTATATGAAAGAGGTTCAGCCAAATGATATCACCCCAGTAGTGCTGTCCTCCTTCGGGGGATAGCAGATAGGCAAGGGATGTTGGGCAGAATCTGAGGTTAGCTTTGCACTTGTTCGCGAGTCTTACTTTCGCTATTGCTGTCTCTAGAGAATTCCGACAGACCCGGGGCCCGGGTTCTGATGAAGGTTCTTGTGTAACGCTTGAGCAATCAGCTGTGGAATTTACAGCTGTGCCCCTCACCCTTTGCACTGTCTGCAGATATATGTGGATCTCACTGTGAAACGTAAATGGAATAAGAAATCTATCTCCCTCCAGACGCGGTGGTGCACACTTGTAATCCCAGCACTCTGGGAGGCTGAGGCGGGCAGATTGCTTAAGTTCAGGAGTTCGAGACCCAGTCTGGGCAATATAGTAAGACCTCATCTCTACAAAAATGCAAAAATTAGCCTAGTGTGGTAGCTGTACTACAGTTCCAGCTACTTGGGAGGCTGAGGATCTCTTGAGCCTGGGAGGTTGAGGCTGCAGTGTGCTGTTCTACCTGGGCGACAAAGGGAGACCCTGTCTCAAAAAAATAAAAAAAGGAATTTATCTCCATACATGGATATTTCTTTTTTTTTTTCCTTTTATTTGGAGGGGTTGGTGGGGGACAGAATCTTGCTCTGTCACCCAAGCTAGAGTGCAGTGGCGCTGTCTTGGCTCACTGCAACCTCCTTCTGGGTTCAAGCGATTCTCCTGCCTCAGCTTCCTGAGTAGCTGAGATTACAGGCACACACCACCACACCCAGCTAATTTTTTGTATTTTTGGTAGAGACAGGGTGTCTCCATTTTGGCTAGTCTGGTCTCAAACTCCTAACCATCCTCCTGCCATGGCCTCCCAAAGTGCTGGATAATGGGTGTGAACCACCGCACCCAGCCTCCATACGTGGATTCTTTCCATAAACCCTCTATCCCCCATTATAAAAGTAATATATGCTCATTGAAAAATTGTTTAATACTGAAAAATAAAACTCATCCATAGGAGATGGAAAAACTGAATGGAATGCCAAGTAATAAATACGGAAGTTATGATGAAGTTGGAAAAATCACTGTTTTGCAACCGCTGTAGACATTGATTCAGTTGGCTTTTCTATCACATTATGGCCTTGGTGATACTGATGCTAATCTTTATGATCCCTGCCATTTGTGAAAGGTGTATCCAGAAACAGCTTCAGTCCACAGTTCTGAACCAGGAGAGTCCTGTATAAAACACAGTAGGCCAAGTGCCTGTAATCCCAGCACTTTGGAAGGCCTAAGTAGGCGGATCACCTGAGGTCAGGGGTTCAAGACCAGACTGGCCAACATAGTGAAACCTCATCTCTACTAAAAATACAAAAATCAGCCAGGTGTGGTGGCAGATGCCTATAATCTCAGCTACTCGGAAGGCTGAGGCAGAAGAATTGTTTGAACGTGGGAGGCAGAGGTTGCAGTGAGCCAAGATCGTACCACTGCACTCCAGCCTGG